AGTGAGTGATTACAGAAATATCATGTCGATGCCAGATTTATATGACAGTATGCACCTTTGCTTAAATTTATTTGATGGAATAGTTTGCTGTTCTTTCAGATACCAGGGACTTCATGCTTTATGAACCCACATTTATTTTCTTGTTTATAAGAAAATAAATTATATTCATAAGGCACCAAGTGGGTGCTGCTTGAATGCAAGAGCTACTTTAATCAAGAAACAAAATATATAAGGTTAATGAGCTCTCATTCATTACTGGAAATATGGTTTATAATTTTAGAATAAAAGGTATACATCCAAAATGTCTGACCCTGTGGGAAGGAGTTTCAATCCCATCGAAAACCTCTTGTTATGCTCTTTCCTAATAGACCAAAGTATGGAAATGGATATGAGCTTATTGATTCTTCATTTTCAGATATGGCTATCTCAGAACCAAGGAACTATTGCAAGTTAGATCCTTGATCTCAATTTCTCAAACTGAAGGCTTAGTTAGCTTTATCATTTCTTCCGTATCATTCTCTGTCATTACTAAGTCATCAGCAAAGACAACAAGTATAGTAATCTTACTATTATGTTATTTGAAGAACAGTGTGCAATCGATATTTTATTGCTTGGATGCTTAAAGGAGTCATTTTTTTGAGATAAAAGTGAAGTGTAAGATTTTATTGCTTTGATGCTTAAAGGAGTCATTTCATTTTATTATGTTATTTTATTGCTTTGATGATACTTAAAGGAGTCATGACATTACTAAACATGACAACCTTTATCCTAGGAGATTGCTTTAGTCTATATGAAGTGCCTTGTTCATACTATACACCTTTCTCTCACTTCTCTCAACATTAAAATCTGAAGGAAATTTCATATGGACCTTTTCCAAATCTGAATGTAAAAGAACATTTTTTTCATGAAATTGTTGCAAGTCAAAGGCAGGATTATTTTCATATAATAAGAGGATTCTAGCATACTCGTTTATGCAACTGGAGTAAAAATATGATGTAGTCCCTACTTAGGATCTTAATTGTGGAGTAGATTAATGGTATGAACTTGTTAAGAGATAATTCAGCAATCTCCTAGAGTTTAAAATACTTAATAAACTTTTTGATTAATTTTTCTGCATATCTTATTTAAATTACAATTCTATATTTTTTTTACAAGAAAACTAACTTCTCCTAAGAATTATAGTTTCCTTAGTTAGAAGTAATTACTTACACATTTTAGAAACTGCATAAAGTAGTTAGACTTGTTCAAAGGGATTAAAGTGGGAGTTCTAGAGCACATTGAGGAACACACTTATTTTTCCCAGATGATACTATGCTTTTCTGTGGACCGGACGAGTCTGCAATGCTCAACCTAATGTGTGTCTTGATGAGTTTTTTGGTAGTTTGACTCAATATTAATTTCACCAAGTCGGAGATAGTTAGATTGGAAGGTGAAAGAGACATCGATAGATTGACGAACGTCTTGGGATGTAAAGCTGTTAAGTTGTCGATTAAATATTTGGGGTTACAATTGGTGGCTAATTACAAAGAGATAAGGGCGTGAAATCCGGTGGTGATTTGGTTTGAGAAGACATTGGCAGGCTGGAAGAGAGTTCTTCTTTGTAAAGGACGGAGGCCGACACTCATCAAAAGCAGCGCTGGCCAACTTGCCCAGTTGCTATATGTGCCTATTTACTATTTCGACTAGTGTTGCAAAGAAATTGGAAGTCATCCAATGCAGATTCTTATAGAGTGATTCGGAAGATCTGGGAGGAGATCAAGAAGCCAATTCCCTAGGGAGGATTGGGGTTAAGATCTATTGTGAATATAAACATGGCTGTGCAAGATAAATGACTGGCGGCTTACGAAAAAAGAGGGTGTGCTTTGGAGAAGAGTGATAGAAGTAAAGTATGGAACAGATGAACCAACTTATTGACAAGACTGCAGGGGAAAGGTTTGTGGAGAAATATTTGCATAGGTAGGGACAGATTCCAGGTTTGTATTAAATGGAAGGTTGGCAAGGACGACATAATCAAGTTTTCTTTAGAAACGTGGCTTGACGGTGGAGCTCTAAAAGATCAATACCTTCAGATGTTTGTCATAGCACAACAAAAAGACATATTGGTTAGGGACTTTCTTAGAGACTTAGGGATGAGGGTAAAAGGAGTGACAGGTAAACGTACTAAGAAATCTCAATGTTTAGGAGATCAATGAATATGAGAATCTCCTAATACCTTGTCTACCATTGCATTGGATAGTAGTAATGATCAACCACTATGGTTTCTCACTAATAGAGGATATTTCTTGGTCAAATTTTTTTATAAGCATCTGACTAAGCGGGAAAATGATGGTACCAAGTTCCCTTTTAAACAAATATGGAAGGTTAAAGTTCTTCCTAGAATTGCATTCTTTGCATGAGTGGACATAAGAGGTTGCATCCTGATCATTGACAAATTGATGAGAAGGGAAATGACTATGGTAAACAGATGTTACTTATGTAAAGGTGCTCTAAAAACTTGTAGTCATGTTCTTTTTTTGGTGTCTGGTTGCATATAAGCTATTGGTTGATGGCTTACGGTTTATTGGGTATTTGTCGGGCAGTTGCGGGTACGGTCAGAGATGAAATTTGGACGTGGAAGAGCATCAGCAGGCAGAGGAAATTTGTGGACCTTATTCCACCCACCATTTTT